ATATATGCCATCTTCAGTAAAATTTTTTCATGTAACAAACTTGACTTATGAACGTAACTATTGAAGAAGGAATGTTTAACTGACAGTCAGAAATTTTCCAGAATTTCCTAATGCTGTGATGGTCCCTTTCATTATCTCTTAATATTTCTGTATATAACATTAGTTTGAAAAACAATTTCATACTTACATAGATAAATTTTTATTTGTCTGAAATTATTTTTGATATGACATTTATGTAAATATTTGAAATTAAATCTTAAGTTTTTAGAGAAATTTATAACCTATTATAATACACATAAAAGAATTAGTAGTAATTTTTGACAGTATATTTTTACTGGTTGTCACCAGAAAATTCTGATGACAATGATGGAAATTTAACAAAAAGATTGCTTACAAATTCTTATCCAAGCATGTAAAGAATTAAATATGTATTTGTATATTCTGAAAAGGCTTTTAAAACACAAACACAAAGCTATACAGATATAAAACTAAACTAAAGTGGAAGAACTGAAAAGGGGACAAGAACTGTGTAGTTTTTGTCAGCTTTCAGCCTTCTGAAGCTTGCATTCAGGTTCACGTTGATATGGAGTATAGAAACTAAAATGGAGAAGATGTTGCATACATAAATGCTACATATTTGTATCATCATACCAGAATATTTGTGTATGTGTGTGTTGTATAATATGGTTGATATGGAGTATAGAAACTAAAATGGAGAAGATGTTGCATACATAAATGCTACATATTTGTATCATCATACCAGAATATTTGTGTATGTGTGTATTGTATAATATGATTGATATGGAGTATAGAAACTAAAATGGAGAAGATGTTGCATACCAAAATGCTACATATTTGTATCATCATACCAGAATATTTGTGTATGTGTGTGTGTTATATAATATGGTTGATATGGAGTATAGAAACTAAAATGGAGAAGATGTTGCATACATAAATGCTACATATTTGTATCATCATACCAGAATATTTGTGTATGTGTGTGTGTTGTATAATATTTTTGTGTTAAATTGATTTATTGAACCTACATGTTTTCTAACATCATGAATGTGTGTTTTCATCTGTCATGTATACATTGTTTTGGATGATGAAATTCTCAAAAAACAAGGGGGTACAGTTTTACCCAAATTAACCAATTGAAAGCTTAGAAAATGGTCTTTAAACAGATGCATTAGTTTTCAGACTACAAGCAAATCATCCTTCTTATTAATGTTTTTCTAATCTGTAATTTCTAACACAGACATAGAGTAAATAGCTTTACAAAAAATCAGGCAATGCTGGGGAATGTCAGATTATTTCTTGGAGCACATTCTTACAGATGACAGATTCAGAAATATATTCTTAATTTGGATTTGGATTCTAAACATGTGGTTGGTTGTATTTCACATGGGATCTTTATGTATTTTTTTGCACTCCTAAATCAGTAGAATAACTATTTATAAAACGCGTATATTAAGGGAGGTTTTTTTTAAGTGGTGTTTTCAAGCAACTAAGTTGGCTGCAGCAAAAGCAACATTTACTTCTTTCAAGGTGGTAAGCCAGTTTCATACATTTACTTTTCAATGAAATTTTTATGGTTGCATACACTGCCGTCAGCACTGTATTATTATATCAACAAATTCACCTATTTATGTGTTAAATTAACTAAAAATAGAAGTTAAATTTAGCACATAATCAATTGCATATGTTATGTCACCATACACTAGTAAAAATACAACTGCATTTTTAAATCACATACAATCAGTAGTGATGGAAGTGATGTTTCTTTCTACCACAGAAAGTAACATGAAAAAGGCTTATTATTAAATATCATGAGTTTTCTATATGTACAAATTCCTCGTTGATTCATGAATGTGTTCTTTTGGAAAATAAAATAATTTTCTTAATTTCACATGTGCATATTTCTGTAAATAATAATTACAGCTAAAAACATAAATAGTAGAGACAAGGTGGCTTAATAAAGCAAAACTAAATTTTGGTTAATACCTGTTGTCAAGCTATTATGATGACAAATTTGTACTCAGCAATAATGATTTGTTTATTGTGAATGGTAATTATTACCTGAATATAAAAAAAAGGCACCTATTACTGATTATTCCACATCTTCTGGTCTTTCAACTCTTCCATTATTTTGTATAAAAACATGTGAAGTAATAGATATTTTTGATTGGTTTAATTTCATATGATGTACAAGTTAAATATTTAGATGTAGGTGATTTGTATAAGCCAATTTTTGTCAAGGTATTTTCTTCTGGGCAGTCTTGGTAACTTTTGTCAAGAGTAAAAATGAATGTATGCATCCTTATAAAGAGAGCCTCATAAGTTGAGTCCATCCATGCCATGTGTAAGAAATAAAAGGAAGTAGCATACTATCAAAGAAGAACATTATTTATGGACAAAAGAAGTGGCATTTCAACTTGCTGCCGTTGGTTGCTTCCCCGTTTCGAGTCCTGATTGAAAGACGTGTTACAACAAATCTACCATTGCTTCATCCTTGTCTTTTTTCCAGGAAGATTTCATTTGTGTGTGTACATTTTTCATTCTATTACATTCTAGCCCTTCTTCTGTTTTCAATGAGAGTACTGGCTCATTGTTTTGTCAAGACTAAATTTCGATGTCTACATGTTTGTTGATTATGAAAATTACTTATCTGTTACATCAAAATCTTTGCTTATCTTTGTTCTTCACTAACTGTTAATGAGTTTTGATGCCAATATAGTCAAGGAAATCATAGGGAATATATATATATATATATATGTGTGTGTGTGTGTGTGTGTGTGTGTGTGTGTGTGTGTGTAGTAAGTACTT